TGAAGCACTACAGATGTTTGTATTAAAAGTACTATACAAATGACATATGATATATGACTGATCATATACACACACAAACACAGTCCTGTCTGTCTATACGACGACATGAAATACAGCAAATTAGTGCTGAATTTAAGAGAACGTTCTTGATGACATAATAATTTGACGTCCGCAGCTGTTTGCACCTGTAAACAACATGTCAGGGTCAAAGCAGTCGCATTGGACGTAGCCTACATTCAGTATGAAAACATAAACATCAGGTGTATGTTGTTCAGAAATGTGGTTAGAACAGAGACTTATGAGGAGCTACACAAACTGTGACGTTTGATCGTGCATCTGATCATCTTACATAAATACAATTTATGAATACAAAACGGAACTGTTACATTTGTAGAGTCCAGCCGTGGTTCTAGATCATTATAGCTGTGTGTCACGCCTCTTTTATTTGTTTTTGTGTTCCCTCCTGGAAAGGATACATCAGTATTTCACACAAAATCTGAAAAATGAGAAAGACCCAGAGTGTGTTAACAGTACGGAAGGAGCAGAACTTACATGTTCATCTGGTGAGGTCCCGGTTTGGTCTGTTTCTCTGGAAAGCTGCTCAGCACGATGGTTCTGATGGCCCTTTGAACGACACAAGAAGAAATTGACACAAAGACTTGTTCAAATTCTTTGTATTCGAGCAGTTTCTTCTTGTCAATCAACATTTAATACTGTGACTAATATAATCATTTCAGCCAGTGCGTCTGTGAGTGTTTTCCTTGTGGATCTCACTCACCAGCGGTTGTATATGATGACAGCCATGGCCGTGGTCGGAGGCAGAGTGGACAGCTCCAGGTCCACATGTTTCACCCCTGGTGGCACTTTGCTCACACACAGGAGCTCGTTCAGTAGCATATTTAATACGGGAATGGTCAAGCTGGGTCGGGAAGAAGGATGAATCATCACTAGAGGTCGACACGACAGACTTTCACTAAAGTGAAGGATTGCACCAACACACATCTCTGCAACCCTGAAACCTCTTCCATAAATGCAAGGTGGACAAGTTTTAAAGTTCCCCTGGTGTCGGCCGCATTGTAAGTTTAAAGAGCCTTTCCCACAAACACACACTCACCCTTTCTCGAGAGCATCCAGATCCCACTTCATGTGGGCGGCTACTTCCAGTGCCAGCAGCTTCAGGGTGCGGTTCCTGCGGTTGTCCGGCGGAGGCTGCACTTGGTTCTGCTCGTTCACGGAGGGCTTGGACGCCTGCTCTAGGAACTGGACGATCAGCTGCACCGGTGCCGGGTCTGTGGAGACACATCAATGCATCAATGAGAACACAGTCCATTTAAGGTGTCCGCTCGAGACACTGACCGGACAAATATATCCAACCTTTCAATGCTTTTTGTTCCTTTTAGAAATGTACTACATGCCAGAAACTATTTAGCAATTATTTGTTGTGATTTATCTTTTTATAGTGAACCCACTTTTCATTAAATTGCCTCATCAGAATCTCTTTTCGGGAGATAATTTATTACATAGTCATAATAAGCAAAGGATATGGGATACAACAAAGCATCTTTAGGCCATGAACACCAAATTATGACAAAACAATCTTGAACGAGAATCAGTATTCACTGAGCTATCCTTGACATTTTGTTGGCTCTGGGTTTAATTGATGAAGAGACCACGACAAATCCACCACGAGACATCGCATAACTGCTAGTGACCTGAGTTGGACTTCTGCAGGTGTTTCTCCAGCAGGCTGCTGTCCAGGAGGAACTCAAACCAGGACGTCTGCAGAGGCGTGCTGGGCCGACTGCCGACCACGGCCCCCACCCGGTCCACCGTCTCCGAACTCATCCTCCCCTGGTGAACAGTGAGGAGGATTTGAACATTTGTTTATATCTTTTGAGGCATCACAGTGACCCGTAGTAAGAGTTATAAGAAATTTGCCTGACTATATTAGAGTTGTATGGCAGCAAAACATACAGTGACATGTAGTGAAGAAAAGGATAGTTATCATGTTATCTTGCAGGATCAGTTTACTCATCAGGGGGAGTAATACTGAGCTTCTAAAAGCAGCTAACTGTAACGTAAACAGTAATGCTGTCATCAAGTCTGAGAAAATGACAGTGAATATGTATTTTACATATTTGTAATATACATTATTTTATATATTTAAGATTCTAAACTGGAAGTATGTTTTATTTTCATTTTCCATAACTATATTTATTGCTTATTGTGACCGTTAGCCACCAAAACACTGAAGATTATTCATCTTAATCTACCCAACGGCCGCAGACAGTTGTACAGCTAAGACACGAGGTGCTGAGGAGGCTCCATTTTTCAGTTCTGTCCTGTTCAGCTCTGTTCACTTGCACCTTATCATCGACCTGATTATTCATGATCCTCACCGTAAAACTGGTATCTTTTTGGCATGTGTATTATGAATTTGCACCTTACTGTCAACGAGATCCATTTATGACACTACGTTTATTTCTAAATTGTACTCCAGGCCTATATATTAGTATATACTACGTACTTCAACTGCTACACAATAATTTCCCTCTGGATAAAGATTAATCTCATCTTGTGTATTTGAAAACCTGCTTGGCCATAACCCTGATTATGATTATGATCAGGGTGACTTTTCATAGCTTAATAAAAAAAAATTACATTTTGCTGCTAATATTTCTTGTAATGGGGTATACATATTTACATTAAGGTGAGGCACATTTGATTTGTAAAAAGAAAAAACGTTTCCTTATTGAAAATACATGGCCAGATTCAGTAAGTATATATATAAATATATATATATATAAAAATATATATATATATAAAAATATATATATATATAAAAATATATATATATATAAAAATATATATAAATAAAAATATATAAATAAATATAAATATATAAAAATATATATATAAAAATATATATATATATATATATATATAAATATATAAATATATAAGTGTTTACAGAAACGACCTCCCACAGACACTAACGCTATGAAACACAGCTAGGTAGCTACTGATGTTAGGATGGTGAAAGCAGCTAGTTAGCTACTAATCAATGATAAGTTACATTTTACGTAGTGGCCAGGGGAGGTTTAGTCTGATTAACGTTTAGTCCCGAGAGGGCGGAGTTTTCAAATTGTCCACAAGATGAGTGGGAACATGACTGAACCAATGTGGCTCGAAGGTGCAAGTATGTTTAAACCAAGCGCATCCCTTCCACCCATTCTCTGTTGCTTGCAGAGCTACCGTTGTTTTGGGCTGATATTCTAAGCTAACTAGCTATATTCTACAACCCGGCCTGGACTGAGAGGGACCGGCTAGCTTACCTTAACAGGCCAAAATGAACAGGTAGAAGATATTTGAGCTAAATGTACACAAAAAAAATCTCAAAATTAAAGGCTGGACCAGCTACACGAACAGTTTGACTCTCACATTATTCATTCTGCGCTTTGACAACTCGCCGCCAGATTTCCGGTTCCGCTTCGTTGTTAGGGAGACACACAGTGCGCCGTGTCTGCGCATATTTATATTTTGAGCGTGTTTAATATTTTCATTATCGGTGCCTGTGTTGTGTCGAATACTGTATCCCCGTCGACATTTGTTTCCACCTAAGAAAACCTGAACCAACTAACCCTAACCACCGTGGGTGGGTGGGTTTCTCATTTTAACAGGAGGGAAACACAGTTTGATGGGGGAACAGACTTTGACCTAACACCGGGGCTTCAGAAGTTCAGAAAAGATCAAAAAAAAGTTTTCTTTACAAACTTTTTTCAATGATCATCAAAGGGTACAAAATGAACATGAACGCAATCCTTTTCAACCAGTTAGTCACATGAATTAAATTTAAAGAGCTAAAATCCACTTTTCACGTTAATTTAAACCCTCACCCTATAGGGTTTAAATTAAATTAAATTAACCCTATAGGGTTTAAATTAATCTATCACTTTTGAATGGCTGTTGAAAAGCAAACATAATCATCCACTCTGATAGTTGCTGGCCTATGACAAAGATAGTTTCATATCAACAGGTCTTTTCAAAATGGAAATCAGGCATCGTTAATGTTATTATTTACACCTGTGTTTTTGCAACTGTAACATTTCAGAATGAAAAGGACACAACTGTTGGATATCTGCAGGTGGTGCTTATTAACCGAACCATCAGTGCACCAATAAGTAAAAACGTAGCAAGTGTCCCAAAATAAGGCAGTAACAGAGGGCACATTTTTGGTACATTAAACTCAATGTGACAACAAAAGCTTATTGATAAAAGACAAGTGGAGCACAGAGACTCAATAAAAACCATAGGACCATGACACTGGTGTTGTGTTGTGACTGATATATGTACTTTTTTCAGATCATTTAGGCCTACCTACTAAGGCCAATTAAATGTACTATTACTATACTGTGAAAATATTCCACTGCAAATAAAAGTCCTGCATTGAAAACATTACTCAAGTAAAAAGTATAATCAGCTAAATGTACTTCAAAATACTTAACACTTTGCAATCTTATAACCAATGTATAAGTGATGTTGAACTCCACCTCTTAGACCCGTTTTGGTTTATGTATGTTCCTGTTCTTGTTCAGTCTAAAACTCCATAAACACAGTTAAAACATTTTTTTTAAATAGGAAGATGTATTTTTTTCTCAACCCATAAAGGAACACTTCATCCGTCAAAATCACCTGGTGATACATGCTTTTCACCGGGCAGGAAACGTATGAAACATTGCAAACTGAAAAGTGACTTAAGCTGTTAGACAAATGTAGTTGATTAAAAAGCCTCCGAGGTGTAACCTAGTGGACATTTGCATAAAATTGAAATACTCAAGTGGAGTACAAGTACATTAAATACTTTAGTACAATACTTTATATCCAAGTTTTTTTTGCTGGGATATGTCATACTAAACACTCCGATACAGTAGGCGGCGGTATGCAGCTTCATAACTTACGGTTTCAGGCCACCATACAATTCAAAGAAGAAGAAACGTCATCAACACTCGCCCTTTGCGCTTCTTTCCAAAACAGATACGGAAGAAAACAAACTAAACGTGACATATTTACAGTTATGACTGGAGAAACTGGTTTCTAGAAAACTTGTTTTATCACCCTCTGGGACACAGGGAGTGTAACGTTCGCGCACCAGCACGCTTAATAGTTGGTGACAACAACAACCAACAAACTGCGAACTTAGCGCTAGCTGAAAGAAGAAGCTAACCACGGTAGACCATCTTGGCGCGATTTTGATGAAGAGCGTTAGCTAACTTATACTTAACAACAAGATGGACTGCAGCACAGCTGATGTGGCACACGACTCCCCAGGTAGTTAGAGTAACAATGTTGTTTTTAATTAGAACTGAAAAGGCAGACATGTTATAGGGCTGCGTTGTAGCCAAGTTAGCTTATTTACAACTTGGACACAAAGCATTGACACCCGTGCTGCTAACATCTGTCAGAACAGCTAAAATGGGGGATGTTATATTGATCAAATCATTACTTACTTACTTTTATATTCTTGAATATTTACATACTATGACCCACCACATTCATCTGAAATGACTAATTTCACGTAAAAAGAAAAACACATAACGAGCTTCTAAAATATGCTACATATAGATTAAACATCCCACAGTATATAAAAGTAGCTAAAAGTCAACCAGCTCCAACATAGAAATGCTGCTCTGTTCTTAATGCAGTTAAAGTTCTATTCTACATACTGTGTACGCTTTTATTAAAAGTATTATTATTTAAAAAGCAGATACATTTTGGAGTTATTGGAGCTGCCCCTCATAGACTGTTTACTGGTTTTTAACTAATGCTAATAAACTTGCTAGTAGATCAACTTCAGTCTTTACTGTTGAAGTTAGTAACTAGTGGAGAACATTGTTCACATATATGGATGCCTAAATGGTTTATTGGTCTAAAGACCCATCCTGTGTACATGTGACATAACTGGTTTGACTCCACCCATGAACCTTGAAGTTTGTAATTCTAATTACTTAAACCACATATTTCCTATCAATCTATAATGTTGATGCAAATGCCATAAAAGTAATCACATCATAAACATAATCTCTAACATTCACAAATGTGCCTGGCCTTTATAGACGTCCAGTTTTTAAGTATGAAGAAAAAAATGACTTAATTCCTCTGTAGATGGACAATAACACTGGGGAAACAATTTTACATGATTTACTTGATTTGCCAAAGAAAAAAAAAACTTTGCATGCCAAGTTTTCGATCATTCATTATCTGTTAAAAGTGTAGTTAACTACAATTGTTTAACATTGCTGAGACAACTGATGAGTCGGCTTCAGGTACTGGAAAATACTTAAAGTAAAGCAAAGTAAAATCAGGATATGCAAACTAGAAAATGGGAAGTTTAATGGGTCTGAATGTACTGTCGAACTTTAATGATCATTTTAGCAGGCCAAACTTGAGATGTAATTCATGGTATTCATCCCATCCTGTCTCTGATTAGGAAACAGCGGCTCCTGCTCTGATGATGAAGTGCCTCTCTCAAAGCTCCTGAAGAAGCCACTCAGGGAGGGGAAACAGTCACGTGGAAACGGGCACAGATCCAGCACTAACTCAGCAAAGGACAAAAGTGGTGAGGACAACAAATCAAACAGAAACAATATTTGTGACAATCAAAAGCAAAAGGCACTGAATTTTGTTTGTTTACATCTTCTCCTGTTGTAGCTTCGGGTGACTCTTCAGATGACGAGCCTTTAATAAAAAAGAAAACTGCACCAGCTAAAAAAACAGAGAAAAAAGGCAACAAGTCAATCAGGTCTAATGGCACAAATGACAAGAAAACAGGTGGTTATATTACCACATCATCAACCATATTTCAGCTGTGTTTTTTGTTTTGTCTGTGATGCATGGCTTTAAATCTTTTGATATATGCAACTTCAGATATGAACTCAGAAGATAGCTCCGATGATGAGCCACTCGTAAAAATTGCCAAAAAGTCCTCTAAAGCTGCAAAGAAGACTTCCCGAGGGCGTCCAAAAAAAACTGTCAATTCAAAGAAGAAAGGTGAGAGGATTTCATCTCCTTGGATAACGGAAAGTTGCTGTGCTCTGCAGCAGATGCTTATTTTCTTGACTTCCATTTCTGACGCAGAATCGCTGGATGGCGATAATAGCTCGGACGATGAGCCTTTGACTGAACTCCGCAAGAAAATTTACCCGAAGCGAAAGGCCTCTGGCACTCCGCCGGTGATAAAATCCAAAAGGAACGCAGGGAGGGTAAAGGGTAGGTGTTCCAATGTGATAATCAAAAGTCATTTGAAATGATATTTTTCTCATAGCACTTATATATAAAATCCATGTTTTGTTCTAGTTAAATATGCAGAGCCTTCCAGTGACAGCTCGGATGATGTACCGCTGGCAGCAGTGACGAGGAAGAAGACGCAGGCTCCTAAAGAGCAAAGAAATGCAGCAAACAGCAAGAAAACTAAACCTAAAGACAAATCACGAAAAGGTAGGCAGCACTTTTATCACACCGACTAGAGAGAATGATCTCATTTTAGTACTAACCACTTATGTTTTGAAAGACCCTTCATCCTCAGACAGCTGCTCAGATGATGATGATGACGACGACGACGACGAAGACTACAAGGACGTGCCCTTGGTGAAGCTCGTTGCCAAGAAGAAGAAGCCAGAGAAGAAAAACACAAAGAAAGCAACTGCGTCAAGAAAGAGACGAGGTACCGTAGCAGCAATCATGACGATGAACAAAACCTATCATTTTGAAGAGGATTTTTTTCAAGTCCTTGCTCCTGTCACTGTTGTTTTGCAGGACTCTCCGATGAAAGTTCAGATGACGAACCCTTGATTAATATGGTGAAAAAGAAACGCACAGACAAACGATCGCAAAATAAACCGAAGGCTTCACCTCCGAAGGCTTCACCTCCGAAGAAGAAGAAGAAAAACACAACTCCCAAAAAGCCAAGAAAGACGTCTGAGTCAGGTAAGGAATCCGGCCCAGCCAGTGTTGTGTAGGTGACAGAAAGGAAAAGCAACTGTGGTAGATCAGATACAAAACCCTTCACCGGACAAACAAATATTCAAAGCATTTGCTTACTCTCTATCATGTATTTGTGTTTCATGAATCATTTTTCAGAGTCTTCAAGGAACAGTTCAGACGATGAAACTTCAACCAAGGCAGCTAAACACCCACAAGTGACCAAAATCCTGAACATTATACTAGAGAGGTGTGATGGTGAAGAAGCTGGGGACGCAGGGAGCCTGAACAAAACCAGGAAAGGTACTGAACACATAACCGAGTCATTATTGCTGCTGTAACAGAGCCTATAAATAAAGAGTAACATAGCTCTTACACTCCGACACAGAAACACAGATTGACAAGAAGACGTCGAGGGAGGAGTCTGAGGAATCACCAGAAGAAGAATAGGCAGCAACCTTTCAGCTGGACGGCCAAGTTCAAAGCACTTAGTAGTTAAAAGTTTAAAGGACTTCCTAAAGAGTAAATCCCTCGGAGAGGCGCCTCTTGAAAAAAAAAAAATTACACTTAGTGTTCATGTTAAGTGTCTTTTATATACAGTGCATACATATTAATTTAAGGTGTTGATATTTTTACTCTCGTTTTTAAGTTTGGGACCCGTTTTTGTAGTTTCCCAAAAGATTTTATGCACAGTCTTTGATGTTATTTCACTTTTTGTGCATATCGTTTGCATTGCCCGTCTCCTCTGGCTTTAATGTTTTTTAAAAAAGAAAATAATTTACCGCTCATTGATATTAACTTACATCTCTGCTTTCATATGAATTGTACTCTTAGCATGCCGCAGGGACATACTGTTGTGTTGGATTAAACTGCTTTCACTGTGACATTCATAACAGATAAATCGGTCTCTATTTGCCACGCACCCACACGTTTTCTTTATTCTTGTCTGGTCATTTTCAGTCTAGTGAGATTGGATGTTAAGTCACTTGTATTACTGTCTCAGGAGGCCTTTCCGTAGCTCTTCAGCTGTGAATCAGGGTATTTTATTAATCTAAACTTTCTTTTATTCTTCATTTTTACTCTGGATTATCAGCTCTCAATTTGAAACAACCGGACATCAGTTGCACACTTTCTCCAGTTAGGATTTGATTGTACTTTACAGGCAAGTCGGTTATCATGTTAAGATTTAATATTTAACGTTACTAAAAAAAGAGTTGAAACTTGCAATTATTTTTTATTGTTAATCAATGTAAATGATTTTTCCCGATTAATCAACAAATAATTTAATCTTAAAAAATACTAAATATGTCACAACCTTTAGGGGCCAATTCGGTTGTTTTCCCCAAATATGTTAAATTTACAATTATTTACTTATATATTTTCTTCCTCATTAAGCTAAATTAATAATCATGTTCAAAACAGTTCCTTAATTCACATAAAACATAAGAAAATTTGACAGTTTTCTTCTGCAGTGAAGTTTGGTCTTCCCTCTTCTTCGTTGCTTTCTGTACCTTTCCGCACCCGGAACTTCCGCTATGTCACATCCCAGCAGCTGCAGCGCTGCACACAGTTGACACCGCAAACACCGAAACTTCAACCGCTAGTTTCCAACTTGAAACAAGGGAAGTTGCGCTAAAAGAGGGAAGCGAATAGTTCGGCTTGTCACCTGCCTAGTTCACCTCAAAGCGGAATATTGGGTTGAGAGCTAGCCGCTTGTTAGCTAGCATGCTGCTGTCTCCACACATCAGACGACTCCTCTAATTTAATCTCGTCATGACCGAGTTACGATGTCGAAAAACAGACTCTTCGGAGGGAGAAGAAGAAGAGGACGAGGGCCAAAATGAGCTCGAGTTGGAGACTACACGTAAGTTAAGCTAATTTAGCGGTTTGCTAACCAAACACACGGTCGCTTCCTGTGCAAAAAAACATGCATTAACATCAGTTAATTTGCCCACAGAAACACGTCTGACCTGTAATATGCTATCACAAAGCTAAAAGTTAAACCATTATCTGTGTTTACACCTGACCAGAGGCTAGAGAGACGCTGAACGCAGTGGATGATGGGAGCGCGTCCGTCGGTGGAGATGACGAGCAGCAGAAAGATGAGGGTGAAGTGAAAGAAGAGGATGCTCAGCAGAAACAGGACGAATCAAACAGACCCGAGGCCTCTGTCAAAAGATCCAAGTGCTCTTCTGCATGTAAGTCCATGTCCCCTACACTGATCTACGCTCTCTTTACACTGTAAGCACTGCTCAATGTCAACTATCGGTGTCAGTCCACTGTTATTTCTACTCCCTATGCTTGATTGTTTTTGCAGGGCTTATATAAAAAGTCTTCTTACATCAATAAGCCACAGAATCAAAATGATCAAGTACTTACAGACACAGAGGTGCACACTCACGAACCGGACGGACGCACGCACACATGCGACTGATCGCATGATTCTCCTGCCGGAGATAATAGTAATTTAAAACAAAAACGGACACTAGTTTCTTCACTGACTTGATACACCTTTGATGATGGCGGCGTAGCAGGATATTAATATTTTTTCCTTTTTAAATACACACTTAACATTATAGCTTACTAAAGTATTGTTGTGATATGTGATGTTCATTGTCATACTTCTGCTCCTCAGCGGGTTTACTGCAGCGCCTTGCGAGGCTGTTCTTTGGATGCCTGGCAGCAGTTGCCTGTGGTGTGCTTTATGCCACGTATATGTCTTTGTATCATGACAGGAAGTTCTGGTTTTCCATCAGACAGGTGGGTGACACCGTGTTTGTCATGAGTCTGCTGACACGTGGCTGCCATTAACATATCAATTCTAAAATTCTCTTACGTGTCTCTCAGGAGGTTGAGCGAGAAATCACCTTCCAGGGAGGCAGCGGGCTCTACTATTACTACTACAAGCACATGCTGACGGCACCGTCCTTTGAGAGAGGTACGAGTGTCCTTTGAGCTTCTTATTAAAGAAAGAAAATGTTTAACTAAATACAACTTTGAAACGAACACTAACTTAACTTTAGAGGCTAATAATATCACTCTATCCTTGTCAATCAAGTCTGTGCTGATGTGGTTTGGGTTTCCCAGGGTTTTATGAGCTGATGCTAGATAACCGGACCGTTTCGGGTCAGACCATCAACGCAGTGGAGCGTTTGTCACTGTATCCAGAGCTCATCACAAGCTTCATATACAGAGTCACAGGCAGCCAGGTGAGCGTCTGATTATGAAGCTAAAGAGGCTATCAACTAAATGTAGGCGTGGTGGGGATTAGCTTGCCAGTGGGACACGAATGGAGGGAGGAAAGAGGAGGGCCGACAGTCATCTTTGTTTCTGCTCAGGACGCCATTACTCCACTATATCTTTACATAGCAAATAGCTGTTTTCAGCTACAGTATATTTATGTTCTGAATGTCATATATAGCTCCTTTAAATTACATTAAATAAAGCCATTGTCAGTTTTGACCATGTTACAACATATTTGTGTCGTATTTTTATCAGATAATACATACAATGGAAGCGTGCATGAGTATTTTCTTTCCAAGAACAAAGGTGCTAAACCAGTACAATGCCCTGTATCAAAGCAGATAAACACTGGCAGACTGATGTCATAGGCCCGAAGGCCTTTCAGCCAGAGATTTGTTGCATAGTGAGACAGAAAACAGTTGACCGTTAGCTGCTTTGCATCAGTTTGTACTGTGGTACTGCCAAAGTCAGTTAAATTTTCATTTTTGAAGTTTGCATATGTATCTTTTGTCAGATTCAGTGGTTTATCATGTAAAATGCCTCCTAGGGCTGGTCACCTAATAATCAGGCAGTCATTAGGTACACGATTTCTGGCATTGGCATAGTCCCTCTACAGCCATTTAAAGCAAACAGTACACATAGTTTGTATATCTTCTTGCTCATATGATTTTGGCCTCGTCTGTGGTGGAAGCTTTCTGTTTCTGTCTCTCCCTTCAGGATTTTGTGGAGCCGATCTACTTCTACGTCGGAGCGGTTTTCGGACTGCAGGCCATCTATGTCACCGCCCTGTTTGTGTGTAGCTGGGTGATGAGCGGCACCTGGGTGGCCGGCATGTTGACCGTGTCCTGGTATGTGATCAACAGGTGAGAGGAACCCTGCCGTCAAAGTCAGTCCGCGCGGTAAAGTTGCCGCCCTCTTGTGGACTTTATCAGATCATCCTTTCTGTCCGTTTTTCTCCCTGTTGCTCTGACTTTCTGGTCACAGAACAGACTTAAAAATGGGACACTCGCCGCTGTTAAGACAAATACAAATTTAAGCGGTGAACCATTATAGTACTCTCCTGTTTCACTTGTTTTCTTTCAGTTTTATGGGGACTTGTCCACTCCACTCTCCTCATGTCATTTCTTCCTCAGACCGGATACAACCAAAGTGGACTACGCTATTCCTCTGCGGGACAACTGGGCTCTGCCTTACTTCTCTTGCCAGGTTGCAGCTTTGACTGGATTCCTGAGTAATAACATCAGCTCTGCCACCGAGGTGAGCCTCTCATGAAACAAGTTTTATATATAACCCTACATTGTTTCCAAGTTAGCGTTTGCACAACACTGATGAACTGCATTCCTCCGTAGATGTGCTGCTACCTCACCCTGAGTGCGACCACCTTCATCTTCCTCCTGGTCTGGGAGCACAGCCACTATGTGCTCTTCATCCAAGGCCTCTGTCTTCTCTTACTGGACTCTTTTGACCTGGTGCCACCGCGTAAGGTGAGGCTCCGTCATCGCACCTAATCAACAATAATAGTGTTGCACATGAAACCACACTTAGTCATTTTTTACACTCTGCTTTTTGTGTGAGGAAACAACTGAGAGATAATGTGTTAATTACTGAGCTTTAGAGGTGCTCAATTGTGTTTCCTTCAGACAGTGTCAGAATAACTGTTTCCCAAAATGTCAAACTACTCGTTTGGCCAGTGTTTTATAAATGTGGAAAAAGAACAAAATGCTGTTGTTGTTGTTGTTGTTGTTTAGTTATAATGAGCTTAAATATTCTTCAAGAACAAACGTGTTCCCAAATGTAACTGTGAAATACACCTGTATGTTCAATATGTTGAGATCCTGACATTGTACCTTTTCCTTTTTTTTCCTCTCTTCTCTCTTGCCGTCTCTCTTTCTCTCCATCGTACTTCCCTCTGGGATGTTAAGAATGCCGACATTCACAAAGCTTACCTCGGCGCTCTGTTCCTGGCCTACTTGTTCCAGTTTCAGAACCCGGCCCTGCTCGGCTCGCCTCTGCTCAGCCTCCTGATTGGCTCAGTGCTCGCGAGGTACTTCCAGGTAGAGTTAGCTGCTCCCTCACGTCAGAGCTCAGTGGAATTCCACATCACAGGCGTTTGTTTGAACTTGCATAGAATCCAAGATGAGTGAGCTTTACTGCCTACACGATTATTTACGTCATTGGTTAACAGATAATCATCAGTGATAACTGATTCATCATTTAAACTAGATTATACAGTAAAACAGTAATATTTCCTTGTTGCACCTGCTTTAATGTGACAATTTTCATTTCTTTCTGTATTTTATCATTAAAAAATGAATGATTTTTGAACGTAGAATAACACCATCTGTTACTGTTTCCTGTATTCCTAATGCAGCAAAAGATGAAGATGGGACCTCTTGTGGCCAGAGTCATGAAGCTCTTCCTCCACTTCTACCTCGTCTTCACCACTGGGATCACCTTCAGTTATCTGGTCAAGGTATAATCAAGGACAAGAACATGGATCAGCTGTCTCCCTTAGTTATGTATTCTATGATAACTGTTGGTTAATCACCCCTGTTTTTCATTCACAGAAACTTATACCTGTAAGTGAGAGTGATTTCATTCTGAAATTCCTTGAAGTAAAATTTGGGCCCAACATGACAACGTGAGTCACAGCTGTGTTAAAAGTTAGCTTTTACAATGCAGGCTATTGCACAGTGGTGGCATGGTGTATTACCTGTTTTCAAACAGCATCCATATTAGTCAGTCTGTCCGTATAATCTACTCTACTGTAATCTAATCTCAATGTTTTTTTTTTAATGGCAGTGACTTTATCACCAACTTCCTCCTGTGCCAAGAGAGTTTCCAGACACCCGGTCAGGACTTATTTCTACGACTGACGCAGGCCTCAGTGCTTCCCTTCTACTTGCTGGTGCTCACTGTGTGTCTGCTGTCCACCCTGCAGACCATTTACAGAAGACTCAGGTTAGAGAGCAAACACAATGCATAACCAGGCGGCAACCTCCGGTTCTGAAAAGTGGAGTCTCTACTGACCACCAGGGGGCGACTCCTCTGGTTGTATAGAAGTCTATGAGAAAATGACTCTACTTCTCTCTTGATTTATTCCCTCAGTAAACATTGTAAACATGAGTTTATGGTCTCAATCTCTAGTTTCAAGTCTTCTTCAATACAGCATGATGTTCATTTAGTAAACTATGCTCCTTTTAGAGTCAAACAGACCATAAAGCAGGGTATGCTTTAGGGCGGGGCTACATGGTGATTGACAGGTCGCTACCAGAGCTGTATACAGCGTCACTACATCACTCCTCCGCAGTCCAAATATGGTCACTTCCGTTCACTGGTTTCTAAAAGCCAAGATGGTGACCGCCAAAATGCTGAACTGGAGGCTTCATAATGGCCATCCACAAATACCTTATATACAGTCTATGCACATGACATTACTCCTTGGTGTCTTTTTCAGGTTATATTAGACAGAGCTGGTGATCACAGCTTGAAGTTCTGCTGTGAAGGGCTTCTATCATGGTTCTTGATGTAAATGATGCTGAAAGCATTCTTACTCTGATACAGTGGCCAGCCAATGAAAACCAACCTCAGACTTGAAGACGGGCGAATAGGGGAGCAGCCTGAGGTCATCTATCATGTTTTTCACACGTTGCTATTCGGAGGCCTGGCCCTGCTGTTTGACGGGTACGTTCATCAGCGTAAACATGCGTTTTAGAATTTGGATTTTCAATATGTATCTATGAAGCATTGATGAGTTGTTTGTTCCTGCTCAGTTTTGGCACAACTAGACGTCGACTGTGTTCTTTTTTCCCCGCAGGATGAAGTATTTATGGACCCCGTACGTCTGCATGTTTACAGCGTTCGGCGTGTGTTCTCCAGACCTCTGGATGACTGTGTTTAAGTGGCTCAAACTGAAGTCCATCCACCCGGTAGTACTGGTGAGTGGCCTCAGGCTCACTTTTCACAACAAACGTGCTCTTTAAATGAAAAAAGTAAATGCATTTTCTCCCATCAAATTCACTCAAAAGGGAATTTTAAGTTAATATTCAGATTATTATGATTATTATTAGATACAGTTGCAGAAGAGCCTAATCCCATCACTTATTATAAATGCCGAATCACTTGGACTTTAAGGTGTTAATTGTCGTTCTACTCTCCAGTCTATGATCCTGAGCACAGCGGTTCCTACCATCATTGGTTTCAGTTTATGGAGGGAGGTGAGATATTTCAGCTCTTCATCTTGTGAAGCTCTTTATGTTGGACATTTACAGACGCATAACATCTGCTCTTCTGCCCTGCAGTACTGCCCTCGCGTCTTAGCAGAGTTGTCGGACGTGCAGGAGTTTTACGATCCCGATACAGTCGAGCTGATCAGCTGGATCAAGTGGGTCACCCGATCTTTCTGTAGTTTCACAGATATCTTTTAAAGTCTTCATTGTGGCACCTCACGTCTTCTTCTGGCCCTCCAGGTCACAGGCTCCGGTGGCGGCAGTCTTTGCAGGAAGCCCGCAGCTGTTGGGAACGGTGAAGTTGTGTTCAGGTTCAGCTGTGACCAGTTTACCGCTTTACTCAAACATCGACCTGCTGAGGAGGACTGAAGACGTGAGTGAGAGGAAAGATTTCTTTCTTCAGGAAAAACAAAGGAGACTCCTCCTGGTAGTGGAAAGTAATTGAAAAACACAACTTAGGACGGTACGGCCAGTTTTAAGCAAAAGGTCCTTGGGTTATAGAGAGGTGATTCATGGAACAGATTGAATCCATTATAATGTTCCTCCAAAATGTATTGTAGTAATGTGATATTTTGAGTTATAATTGTCTCTATACTGCTGGGTCTCTAATTAAGGCATCAAAATGCCCGTAAACACACAAAAAAGACAAAACATATTTAGATTTTCCTCCTCACAGATTAGTTGAACTAGCGAACATATTTTTTTAAATTCTATTTATTAATATCCTTTTATTCCTCTCCTTGTAGACTTACCAGGTGTATTCAATGAGGTCTGCAGAGGACATTTACAAGATTCTGACCTCTCAGAAGGCAAACTACGTGATCATCGAGGAGTCTATTTGTAACGAGCTTAGTCTCAATAAAGGCTGTCGGATCAAAGACCTGCTGGACATCGCCAATGGACACGTGAGTCAACACTCGTTCAGCACAAGCTGCACCTGTATCTGTGCGTCTAGTAATGTGTTTTTTAAATGGTGCATGTTGTTGAAAATCAAGATTTTTAAGTTTATCAAAGTAGGTTTTGATGATTTTGCGTACAAAAACCAAAGTGATAACGGCACGATGTGATTGTATTGGAGGTCGTGTACTGACTGGGAGACGTGACTTCTGGGAGTCAATAGGTCTGACAGCCAGGCTAGCTGTTTCCCCCTGTTTCCAGTCTTTGTGCTAAGCTAAGCTAACTGTAGCTTCATATTTACCGTTGAGACATGAGAGCGGTATCAATTTTCTCATCTAACTGTCAGCAAGAAAGTAAATATGTATTTCCCATCATGATTTATTGTAACGGAAGCTTGTGTATTATGGAAGTGCTTTGCAAAACCTTTCTTGGAAAGTATGTGTTTTTACAAAACTGTTATACAATTGTTATATTGTATACAATATTCTCATCAATGTCCCATATCCTTTGCGTTCATTCAGGTGGTTTATGACAAAGGAGAGATTTACTCTTTCTCCAAGCACCGGAGATTCTGCCACGAGATAAAGATGAACTACTCGCCCTACACAAACTACTTCACGCGGGTCTTCTGGAACCGATCGTACCACGTGTACAAAGTGAACTCCGTCATCTCCTTCCAGTACTGACAGCAGCTCCCTCCTCCGCCCGCTGAGACTCCGCTGAGCCCGGCTCCGCCCTCCACATCATATCCACCATGTAACATGGAGGAGGAGGGAGGAGGGAAAATGTCTAATCACTGGTGCCTCCCACATCCTGGTGTAGATGGTGAAGCTGTAAATTGAAACACAGCGGAGCACATTGGTTTTGGCCTACACATAGTTTGAGTAAAATCAACATGAAAGGGCCCTGTTGAAATATGCCATAAGTAATGATCACTGTACTGTAGTTAATTCAGCCATGCGTTAATGTTACTGTCATGTATTTAATGAGGTGAGAGCTGATATGTGAGGCCTGTGTGTTCACTCTGTACGGAGGCAGAGAGAGATTGTTTTTTAAGCTCTGTAAAAGTGGGTAAGTAAAGTAAAGATCTCCCACCTCAGTTCATAACTATAATTCCTGGGGTTAACTGTCAGCCAGTGAACATATTTGAAGCTCTGCAGCTCACCTGCGACAGATGTCAGGTGTGAAGTGTACAGTTTCTTCACACACCATGGATATTTATGGAGAGATTGTTTGGTTTGAGTGTGTCATGCGTCTCCCGTTTTAATCCTGATTGATTGAACAACCCAGGACAATAGAAACAACATCTGAGCTTTCATTCAAAGGGAAGTCGACGCTGCTTCTGATGCTGCTTATTTCTGTTGCTACGTCTCCATCATTCTCTTCATCTGGATGCCTTATTTTGAGATGTGGGAAGTGCCTGACTGACGCCCCTCTCTATCGACCCTTTAGTCGCGTCTGAGACTGACCGTTTCCTCCTTCCCCGGGTCTTACCTGAAGTATTTCCCTCTGGTGCTACCATGCAAGTCTCGCCATGTAGTGACTATTAGGTTTTGAATTATGGAAAATAAGTGTGTATGAGTTGTTAATTACAAAGCTGATTTCCTGATGTTGCCATTTGGTGCCAAGAATTTGTTTTATCCAGCTTATTATGCTTTAAATACAATTTTTATGTCCGATATTTTTCTTTAAAATCCAACAAGGAGGGACTATGGGCAGAAAAAAGATTTTATATATTAGAGCTATTTTCTTTTAAGTTTTCTATTAGGACGTTTTTGCATTTTCCTCTGCCATATGAAATCTTAAGTCACTCTACACTTGCATGCAAATATGTTGTAATTATATTTGGCTTATTAGATGTGTCTCAGGATTGTTAGGGTGGGAAATACCACAACTTTAATATTCTTAAAAAAGTGGCCATTATTATTACTATTTATATGTCCCAAGAAAATAGTTATCTCATGTAATTCCTACCAGCTCCACCCAACCTCTGAGCAGAGCTGTAACCAGCCAGTCTCGGTAAGTGTCGGTTCATTTATTTTTTATTCACTATAAAGTGCTTTAATATGGTATTTGTTAAAGATTGTATTTATTAATTATTAAATCAAATATTTTAAGGGACTTTGGGGGCTCCAATGCCTTCTGTAATCACCAATTAACGTTAAATTAAATGTCACTTTTTTACTTAGTAGTAGTTGGTGTACACTTTCACTCGCAGCAGAGTATTCAGAGTGTGGTTTAGTGTTTATCTGAATACTTCTCCTCCACTAGAGGTCATCAGAACAGACTAACAACTGTCCGCCATGACGTTTCGTTGCCGCAGTAACCATTTGTTTCGTTGCAATTTACATTTGAGACGTAAACGACGTCGATGCTGATTGATACGTTTGGCTGTTTTACATCCACCAGTAACGAGGTATGTGCCATTGGTTTCTTGAAAACGTGAGAAATGTTTCGGTGTTCGATCTTCAACTATTGGTTAAAAGAAAAGTTTCGGTAAACTCATGTAACGTTAGCCTAACAGTAAAAATATCTTTGCTCCATAACTAGCCAACATTACAAGCTTACAACGTTTATTTAGCTTAGCTTAGCATCATTGCCATTTTACAACAATGAAAGGTAGCCGCCTTCACCCACAGAAAAAACATAGTATACATATTTAATGCTGAATAAAAGGCTATATAATTATATATAATCTACAGTTCAAAGCTTTATTGGAATACCACACTCAATCCTATTAGTCACCTGCACCCAGAATGCAACTGAAACACCTGTAACCAATTAGATCGCTCAGAAATCCAAGCGTCAACATTATAGACACTAATTGCAATATATTTGTATTTTGTTTACAATACAGCAGCTATGTTAATGTCATCTTCAAGTAGTTGTCTGAAACTGTTGAGAATAAACTAAATGCATTTAAGTTCCTAGTCTTTATTTACGGCATGCTACAAATGAAAAGACAAAGACTAGATATTGTTTTATACTTAACACAGTGTACAGCTGGCATGCATTAAGTGTTGGTAATGACACTACCTTAGCATTAAATAAATTCATATTATCTGGAGATTAATGGGCTTTTCAAATGCCATTTTGCAATGTTTTCAATGTCCAATGCTTTTTCTGTTCAGCAACGTGTTTGCACTTGGTGTTCTGTAGTGCTGCTATTCATTTCTAACATAAATGATCCGTGGGTGTCCAGTGAAACCTGTATAGTATCATTTCTCTCTGGCACATGTGTTTGAGGTCTCTTTCACCATGAGGCAGCCACATTTCTAACCATTTCTTCATTTATGTTCTTCCTACCAGCCCATACTGACAGTGACCCCCAGTAGAGAGTAATGTCTGTCCCGGACCACAGTCCCCATCAGGGTGCTGGACCCAATCTTGTGACTTTTGAGGTTATGCGGAACCGCTCGGAGCTCTTCAGAGCAGAATGCACGAGGCTAATGCTGGAAACTGACAAAGCATGCAAACGCATGCTAAATGATGACAGCAAGCGACTAGGTAAGTGGGGGAATGCAGATGTGTTAAAAGGATGATGTTGCAAAGACCACATAGGTGACCTGTAGGGTTTCTTCTCCTGCTGTTCAGATCAGCGGCTTGGAGACATCCAGTTTGTGAAGAAGGGTTTGGAGCTGAAGTTGGAGGAGATTATTGTGGAAATTTATGTCCTCGAAGCGTTGCAGAGCAGAGTGGCAAAAGCCCTGAAGGCCTGCGACGAGCCTCTGAAAGTCACCGTGGTCTGTCTGGAGGAGAGGTGAGGATCTCGAACAGTCAGAAGAAAAATCTATAATGTTTTTATTTTAGATTTGGCAACTTTTATTAGCTTTCAGTATCGTGAAGTCCACCTTTCCGCACCACTTTCTCCTACTATAAAGCCTACATATAAAAACAACTTGCAGCATGAGTGTGAGAGACGTTTTTGTTCTGCGTCCTGCAGAAGGAAACGTCCCCCCTCTGAGAGGCTACATGACAAGGTGGAGAGAGAGCTGCTGAAGGAGAAGAAGGTCATTGAGGGAGTGGCTTCCTTTCTGCAGAGTGTAGCAGAGCAGATCACTGAGCAGATAAGGTAAGAAAGATGGACTGGCTGTGATCTATGAAGGGGATCTCAAAAGAATGCTTTGGATTTTCTAACTTTTATAGTGATTTTAATGACTTGAAAATCTGGAAATAATATCAAATCAGTATATAAAGTCGCCAGTAAAAGCAAGACAAAACATGTCTTTTTGTGTTCCAGACTGAACCGATCCGCCAAGTACCAGCTGGAGAAGGATCTGAAGGAGAAATTTGAGGCTCAGTGCATTGACAACTCCTGTGCCTTGATGACCCACCATTCCATCAACAACCTGCAGAGGTCCAACACTGAACTTGTTCCGCAGAGGTGAACTACCATGACGATTTGAAATTCTGACCCGCAGATCTGGGAAGAAAAAGGATGTTTTGTTAGTTCCAGGTCTCCCTCTCTCTCTCTCTTTCTCTCTCAGCTTGGCAGTGACATCAAAGCAGTGGCAGAACATCTCGGACATCAACATGGCCAAAGCGGAGCAGCAGCTCGCCAACTCTCTGTCCCTGCGTTCCCTGGTGGAGTCTCTCCTGGAGCAGACGGCCTCCGACATACAGAGGCAGGTCCAGGCCACAGCGGCAGCCCTCCAGCTGAGCGTCCTGGAGATCAAGTCTGCCAAGAGCCAGATGGAGGAACAGCTGGCCAAGGTAGGGCAGATGAGTGTATGGTGTATATTTGAGAGGGAGTGAGTAAACAAAGTCCGGCTGATGGCCGATGTTATGAGAAAAGTCAGCATTGCTTTTTAACTAACATTTATTATATAAGGATATTATTGGCTAGTTATTATCCTTTCATTGAGTAACAATGTGCTATTGTTTGAAATTAAGTTTTGTAAACACTGGTTGACCCTGGCGGGACGCCTCCATCCCCTCTAGATTTTGTCTGAGTTTGACAGCCAGCAGAGGATCGGGGAGAATCTGCGAGTGGCCATCACAGAGAGCGAGCAAGGTCTGAGTCTGGTCCAGGCCCGGCTGGCTTTGCGCCGCCAGAGGCCCGGCAAAGAGCAGTGCCATGATGCGGCCCAGTCCCACCTCCTCGCCGAGGTCCAGCAGCTCATCGCTCACATCAGCATGTAAGGCCAGGACACACTCGCCTCTGATGTAGAGGGACAAAGCAAGACATGTTTTCAATAGGTTTAATGATGCCAGTGTGGACACACAGCCATTACATCTGCTAGTTTACAAAGGCTGTAACACAAGAACATATAGAAATAAAACAATTCAATTTGTAAGAAAGCATGTATGACAGTATAATTAAAGGAGCAGTAGAAAAAGTTATTTTGAAACGCACAGAAAGTACCCACCAGGTGGATTTCCTAGATTCCAGTTTTATAAGTAGTTTCCTCCTGTGTTGGCTGATTTTAGAGATACATCCGTTTAGGACAGGTCTCTTTTTCTCCGCTCCCTCAGACTGCACGAGGCAGCGGCCCAGTCAGACGAGGAGCAGAGGGCTCTGGTTCGCTGCCAGCTGGAGCTGCATGAAAGCATCGAGATGAAGGCCAACTGTCTCTACATTGACGAGGTCGTCTGCCCCCAGCACAGGGAGTCCATCGTCATCCACAACTTCTGAGCATTTAGCAACAGAAAGAGTATACTGTACATAGACCAAGTATTTCTTCATTCAAGTTATTGCAAGTATTCTCTGTAATGTTTTCCTCTCACTCTAAAATAAAGCCACTGTACTTCACCGCTGGTTAAAGTCAATGTAAATGTATGAAGGAAGTCAAGTTCCTTCTTTCCATCAAAGGCATTTCACATTTTCTTTTGAAGTTCATTTTTACCTTGAAAACTGCAGTTGACAAAACAATCTCACTGTCAGGAATTTGAAATAAATACCTCAGATTTTAATGCGTGAATTTTCTTACGTTAACCTGAGACTTACCTCGTCCATTTTTGAAAGTGTTTTCTACTGTGAAAATTGCTGCTGACTCAACACATTCAGGCAATTGGCATTACAGTTCAGCTGCATTTGTATTTAACAAAAGTAACATTACAAAGTTTTCAGGAGTGTTAAGTTCACTTTGATGCGTTTTATATTCCGGGCCAGTCAAAGTCATGCACACACAAACTTAAATGAGAAGAAAAAGGCTCAAAAAGATGCCATTATCCAAATTGTTGCTGGTTAATTTTCAACAAATCCACTAATTGATTGACTACTTGTTACTGCTCCATTCACATCTTCAGTCATAACAGTACTGGAGAGTCATAAGTCAATCAAGTTGACTTTACAGAATAGGTCGACATAAATTAAAAAAAACAATTCGAGGAGCCAAACCTTCATCCACAAGTGAAAGTGGTCAGTATGGCAGTTGATAGCTCCGTTTATTACACACATAGAAGATAAATACTCAAGCACTGTAATGCTGGACAAACAGGAAGTGATCATCAAGATGTAGAGATCCAGACAGAGATATGAGGACCTGGAGGAAAAGCGTCATTAGTCAACATTAATCAAACCTCATTGTTCAGGAACTAATGAAAGTTATTCTTAGGTTGGTTTCATTATTATTTTTTCCAACCTTGTTCCAGAATTACCCATTCACAATCAGTATTTTCTTCCATCATTTCCTGCTGGGTGTTGCTGTCTTGATCACATCCCTGAGACAGTAGTGGGACAATCCTCTGATCATACTCACTGTCCAACCTTTCCTACACATGAACTACTCATTTATTTTTTAAATCAAAAGTGCTATCACAGAAGTACTCCTACTGTATATCTAATATATCTCACAGAATGCAAATTCATTAAAGCCGTATAAAACATTGGTAGCCAACTCCCAAAGAAAACATTTAAAATGTATTATGATATAATCTCGAGAAACGTAATCCCTGGAGATTCAATTTGACTTAATTCATGATTAAACGATAAGAGTTTACCAATGTTTCATGCAACCCCAATCTCTCAAAATGACATGTTCTGACCACTTCCATCACAGAAGTGCAACATACACGCATTAAACTCAAAATTAACATTTCTCTTGTGTTAAAAATGTCAGGCCCTAAGAAACCCTACTTGACCTGATCACACACACACACACACACTCATCACAGTACAGTGAAATATCATTTCAAGTGGAGCAATTCGGGTTAATGCAGTCCGAGTTGTTTAGCGGTCTGTTGCTCAGTGCGACCCGTGTGTCCGTGCTGGTGTTTTAGAGTGCTGGGGGGCCGACAGAGTTCACATAGCAGCCATCTTGCTGGCCTCTCTGACCCCACTCAGGTAGGCTCCCGTCACAGTCTGAGGGAAGTGTCTGTTGGTGGCCTGGTGACAAAAAAAACAACTAATGTAAAACAGTAGTAATTCAGTTTGACAAAGTAATCTTCACTCAAGGGCCACTTACTAGGTTTTTAAATCTCATTTATCACCATTATCTCCCCCTTAGAAAGCTTGGAAACAAGCTAGCACTGTATGTGGAACTTGAGTTCAGATTATTTTGTCAAACCTCTATTTTAAAACTTTAGTTTCAATAGTGTCCATTTCATTCTGAAATGTTACAAAACACAGGTGTAAATAACATTAATGTCTTATTTCCATTTAGCTGCTTTGGTGTCAGGTTCCTGGTATTGTGCATGCTGGCTCACTGTCACAGTTGTGGTTCATAAAGACACTTGAATAGAACAGAGCCATCATTAATGTTATTATAACACCTGTGCTTTTCTTGCTCAGTCTGCTGTGAAAAGGCCTGTTGATATGGAAAAAGCAGTATGGGAAATGCAGAGGGGGAAACTCCAAAACTTTCCAATAATGTCAAAAGCAAATAAATCTCAAATAATTAGCCATATCTAGACACATTTGATTGTATTAAAAAAAAAAAAGAAAAAAAAAGTAAAATCAGCGTCACCTCTCCAGCAAAGAACACTTTTCCCTGCACGTCTTCAGCGAGGATGTCGTAGGCCTCTCCACTTCCCCCCGTCTTCACAAAGCTGTAGGACATCTGGGACCACTTGTCTTTGCTCCAATGTGTGACAAAATAATGCAGCGGCTCTGGGACGTCCTATCGGGGATGACGGACAGAAATTAACAACAGTAATGAGAAAACTCCACAAACAATACAAGTAAATCTGAACTATAACAGGTAATCGGTGTATTTTGGTTTTTGAGAGAAAATGTGCAGTGAATTTTAGAATTGTTTTAGGAACTCTGTGACTTCACATGCATTTCGACTGAAGGAATGAGGGTCTAAGTTTAGTTCCTGGATTATAGTTCCTGGCCGGTACCTTTGTATGGCTGTTCCGCTCTGCTAATGGACCAGCAACTATGAAGGTGGAGGTTTACTTCTCCTTTTTTAACAACCATTCAAACATCAGAGTAGCAAAGTAGTAAGTTACAAACGATGTCCTGGTGTTGTCGCATGTCTATAAAAGCCCTTCACTTTTCAAGGGTCTCAATGAATGTGGAAAGTGACATTTAGCTCCTAATTTAGCCCCTGAACTGAATTTCACGGGACTATTCTTGTTGAAAGGAGCCTTTTCATGCTTAACTAACGGTTACTTTCACTGTTGGTCTTACTGTTCATCAGTTACCCCGAATGGAATAAGAGAAGAAGCGTCAATAAATGTCAGTCGCGCTTCAGCTGAATGTGACAAGGTTGCACATCAAAAGCGACGGCATTACCTGCTCTTTGAAAAGCTCACGCAGCACCTTCATGCACTCGTACACCACCTCCTTGTCCTCCATGTCCCGGACAGCAGGCACAGCATCCCCAGTGATAACAGACATGAGGACAGCCTGCTTCCCCTACACACACACAAGTCTAACATTATAATTCAAACCTATTTTCCCTGGTAGGAACAGGTATCTGACAGAGAATATAAAATAAGTTTTCTTAGCGGTGCGATATTGTCTTGCAGGGTGGATAAAAAGGAGAAAACACAGACCTGTGGCTCCATGTCATAGAAGACACTGAACATGCCTCTCTTGTCTGGACCTGGTGGAATGTGACCAAAGTAGTCTGCCCCTTGGATTCTGTTGTCCCAGAATCGGTACGGGAACTGGAGAGCGATCTGGAAGACGTTTTTAAATATTATTCTTAAGAATCTACAAGAAAGCAACTTTTCTAATCAGCAGGCCACTTGTTATATTTGCCTTATAACTAAATGTAAAAATTAATTTGCCAACATACTGTGCTTATCTACAACCATGAATCCCAAATACACATTAAAACAGTTATTACCTTCTCTATGATGCCGGCTCCCAGACTGTGGATTGCTTTCATTTTCCTTTCAGGAAGCGCTGGGTGGAACTGAATCAAGTTCTTCTGGAGCAAAGTCAATGGGACAGTAACAAGAACCTAAAAGAGTAACATGACACCGTGTTCATCAGCATTGAACACATGCAACATTCTCTGAAATGATACATTTTCTAGGATAACATCTTGAAATGATGCGTATTATATACTGGTACTTTTTATAACATTTATCAATGTGCGTTTACCTTCTGTGCTGTCCACTGGGACCCGTTGGAGGCGGTAACTTTGACGACATCACCTGAGTAATCAACGGCCTGAACCTGGATTTGAAAAAAAGAAAGAAAAGAAAAATTACACCACCTGACTTTTAACATTGAGATTTATTTATGCAGCATTCAACGTATAGTAATAATGGTAAAAGCAGCAGCCGACTGTAATAGATTGAATTACAAACCGGGCACTTTGTGCGGATGTCGAGGCCCTCGGCCAGTTTGTGGAGCAAAGCGGAGTAGCCCTTGGTGAGTAACGTGTGGTCTCCTGAGAACTGGGCAAAGAACTCATTGTGGTCCCAAGATCTTGCCGAAACCTACAAACAAATAAATGTAACATTTTCATCGCAGTTCCCGTGAAGACACAATATCAAAACCCACACAAACTAGATGTGCAGAATCCAGAATCTAGAGTTCCCTTTATGCAATAAAAAAAAAAAAGACAATAACTCCCCCACTTCAAACACACAAACACTTACAATGTTGTTATCTTCTTTGGTTAATGTTCCCTGATTCTACAGGCAGACGTGTAGGATGTATTCATAGCAGTAAACCAGCATGAATTTTGTAAAATGTAATGGCAACAGACTCTTCAGTCGATTATAGCAAAGAGAAAAATCCAGAATTCCTTTAGTGCTACTTTTCCACACCTGGTCTAACGTGCTTCCACAGGCGTACTCCAGGTTGCTGAGGTGAAACTGAAGCACCTTCTCCTCCAGCTCACTGAACTGGATTCCAGACTCCTGAAGGAAGTTCTTCTTCACCTCCTGGACCTTTTCTGTAGAGATAAACACCGATAAATGAAATGTCTCGAAAAGCTGACCACTCTTGTTGTTTTTTATTATTTGTGAAATCGTTTTGCTGAGAGTTTGGGTACAACACCCCAGCACCTCTCAGCGGCGTGTCCTGGCTCTGCGACTTGTCCTTCCTCCATTCCGACACCACGTCCAGGATGGCATTGAAGTGGAAGTCCATGCGCTTGTCGATGGCCGGGTCGGTAACCTGCCCCCCCTCCTGAAAGAGGTCACACCGCTCCCCCAGCTTGTGCATCTTGATGCCCATCTGCAACAGACGAGCGAAGAGCTCAAATGAAAAGCCCAGAGTGCACATATGAAGATTCTTTTTTTTCCTCCCCCAGACATCTCTTACCTGTTCACACATGAGGGCGATGGGGTTGTTTACGCAGCCGTTGACGATTTGAGCTCCTCGGCCTACGGTGACACCCAGAGATGTATCGTCCCACACGCGGCCTCCAATTCTCTCCCTCGCCTCGAGCACCACCACCTGTGAACCGATGACAACAAAGAGTGCAAACAGCACTGTGACGAGCGAACGGGGGGGACAGGAGGTCAGAGAAGAACTAACCACACTTACCTGAGTGCCAAAGTTTTGCAGCTGCCGTGCAGCAGCCAGCCCTGAAGCCCCGGAGCCGATGACGATAACGTTCCTCTGCAAAGATGATAAATGTGACTCTAAGTCTTAACCGAATTAATGAGAGAAAAAAAGCTTTGACATGAGATGTGCGTTGTAAGGATGAGGACACTCACAGAGCAGTGTCTTTCGGGGAGCAGGGGCCGCTTCACTGCCAGCACGCCAGTGTTGATGAGGCCCTTCCTGGTCATGAAGTGGAGCACCCGGTCCATCTCCTGCACGCAGCGCACACGCACCAGCCCCCGGGCGATGATGTGCACGGCACACTTCTGGGAAGTCAGCACCTCCTTTAAGAAAAAACAAAGAAGCTGTTTGTCTGTGGAGTCCTATATTCCTCCACAACCAGCTATTTACAAACCTAAAACAGGTGAAAACGTATAAGTCACTGGTGTCTGCAGCGTACCTTGCAGTTCTTGTGCCAGGAGGCCAGAATGAGGTTACGTAAAGCCAAATACATGGTGGGATCACGGGAAAACTCTGGGAACTCGTAAAGCTCATCCAGCTCCATCATATCCGGCCGAACGCACAGAGCCTTCCCACACTCATTGGGCTGGTAGAAGGGCTGGAAGTACGGACACAGGCCTGGAACTGAGGCGAAAAACAATAGTTACTACACCACATTACTACATGCTTCAGACGGATATCTCTAAATAGGAGGATGACCAATTTCCAGCAGGAACGTTCCATTCTTCCTCTCACACCCGCAGACTTACTTTGTGGCGGGACGGTCCTGCAGTGATCCGCCCTGAGCTCAGACAGAGACAGGTTGCTGGCGGTGCCTGACGGACTCATCCCCACGCAGTCAGGGTAGTAGGAGGCGAGGAACGGGCCGGCGGGACTGTCTTTGAACAACGGCGGCAAGATCAACATGGAATGCCACCAGCTGTCAGACACCTCGGCCACCCTCTGTGAGAATGACACGGCATGGGGTTAAAGAGGCTGTATTATTCAGTGGAGCATGCACACTGGATGTAGTTTTTGGGGGAAAAAAACTCATTACAAGCTGCATTTGATTTTGTGACAACAAAACACAGATCAGCAGATTACCAAGTCCTCTGGTTGGGAGCACTGATCCGGTCCCTCACTCTGCAGGCAGAGACATAATATTATTATTTTTTAAGAAATGATGCTTGTGAGTGGCCTGTTGATTCTTTTCCCCCCCCCCATTTCCTGTTTACCTTGATGTTGTTCAACTTCATTCCACAGCGGTACGTGGCTGCGAGGGAAGCGGTGAGTTGGATCTCCTTGGTCAGCTGACGCCACTTCCTACAGTCCGGTTTAGTACATTGAACCTGAAAGGAACACATCCCAATGACCATCACTGTGTTTACCGACTTGGATAACCGGGTTCAACTGGTTAACAGGAACCAGGGAGGCCGTCTGAACTTACCCAGAATGGTAGCTGCTGATCTGCCATGAAAGCTTTAAGACTGGGCTCACTTTTCCCGTTACTAGTCCACACCTTCTTCCATAAAGCAAAGATCTCGTAGCCATCTTTGTGACTACCAAAGGGGGGGAAACAAGTTAATGTTATGGCCTCGATGCAACGGCAGTTTCAGGGTCACTTTGTTCATTGATGTTATGCGAGTAGTTGTTCTGTCAACATTACCTTCTGTAGTAGTGATCAAAACATTCGTTGCAAAAATGCTCACCGCATGACAGATGGTACCAGCGAGACGTGTATCCGTTTTTAGCACACCTGAGGAGAGACAGAAGAATTCAATCTGTGTCTAAAAAAGGAGCAACTGCGTTGAGATCTGATTTCTATTATACGGAGAAACATGCTACCTGTCAGATGCACTTGCAAAACAAACTGGGTACGTGGCGGAGCATCCAGCCTTTTCGCACTTCCTGTACTTCTTCTCAGATTGGTCGTCTTCCTCCTCTGTGTCTGTGGCTTTTCTTTTGCTCTAGAAAGAGCATGTGGAGAAAGTCATCTCACTCAACTTTATTCATAGAGCATTTTAAAAAGGCTTTGGGGGGCGGGGGGAGAAGACCAGTGGGCTATGGGAATTGGTATCAGGGGAGAAAAAGTTGGATCGGCACATCCCTACTTTAAACACAACACAGTGGACCCAACATGCTGTAGAGGGCTGACAGAGATGGACAGCAGAGGGAAAGAAACCAAAAAACAAACAAGCACAAGTTCAGCAAACAACAAGAAGGAACACAGAAGCAGGTTAGGTTTGTTCTTTCTTTCAACCTGGAGAAAGTTTTCAACCATCCAGCATTTGATGACCTGAAGAAGAGTACTGAGGTCTGTTAGTTTGTTGTGACTATTAGGCTCCAAGGGTAGGTTTTTCTTCAATAGAGCAGTGAAAATTGAAGATGTATTTT